CCTCCGCGAGCGAGTCCTGTCCTGTAATAAATAATTATGTCAAAGGAAAATCATGTGATCAGCGACGATAGGACTGCTACTAAGACAATTTGTCTTTACCATTCGACCATTAAAATTACTATACATTTCATTGCTATTTCTTTTGTCCTAGGATGGTAGGCACGACCCTGGGATTGTTTTTCACATTACTTCATGGTAGACCTAGGGGTTGCGGCATTATCACTTGGATAAAATCCATTGGGGATTAGGTGTGATTTGAACCCGGGACCTCTTGGACAGAAGTCCAGCGCTCTATCCACTAGACCAGCTCGCTCCCCCTCCATTCCTAATTTAAAGTGGTTACGAGTAAACAAATTAAAATTAATGTAATTGAATTGGAACATGAAATGAGTGTGCGCTGATGAAGTTTTCTGACTTGTGTAAGATACAATAACTTTTTAAGTAAAACCTGAAAGGAGTATTGTTAACTATTGTGTTTTTAAAAGATCACAATGAAGAAGTCTAAAGGTAAAAGAAAAGCTAAGTCTACTGTAGCACACTATGTGAGTGCTGGTCCATGTAGATTGGTTGTATGTACTTAGTTGTTTTTAAGTCAACGCTCTTAGTGAACGTTTTACCTTTGCGTGCTTTGCCAATAGATTATATGACTCCACATACCACCTGAAGCAGGCATAACATTGTTTAAAGAGTTAGATTGGGTTTGTTTCTGCCAATAAAAAAAATACTCTTGTTGAATGAATTTTACATATATATTGTTAAATTATTCTTGGTTCAGAATCATAGTAATGAACAACTTTGTGGAAGTGTCGGTCACAATTTAATAGTTTTGTCGGTTAGATCCCCCCCTAATCATACAGAACTATAGTCGGGTCCACGTAAGTTTGCAGTTGGTGGCAGCCAATCACAAGACAAGGCTATTGCGACGTTGCCACATCGCCCGTTGACCACACTAATTAAAATATACCAAGCAATATTTTCAAATCGGCTGGTATTATTAGATTTGGCAACACCGCACGGTTCTCATTGGTTCATTCAAAACCATATGGTAAATAGGCTCCTCCCTCAACTGCAAACTTACGTGGTCCCAACTGAAGTTGACTGAAATCATATACAATTATTTATGTAGGCATATTTACTGAGTATAGAGAGTTATTCCAATTAACTGATTCATTCATTCACAGCGGTCAAACTAGATCGGTCAGTTGTATAAATTCACGGTTAGTTACAATAATTGGTCCAATGGTGGGAAGTAGGCCAACCTAGCCTTTAATTGCTTTGTATTTATTGCGGCTACCTGTTTTATCACTCATGATAACGAGCCAACCGAATAATTGTAACCAATCGATTAGTTTTATTCGAATATAAACAATTCATTTAATTAATTACTATGTTATTTTATACTGTGTGATTTTCTTACCAGTATTGTTAGCGTTGATGGAAATTTAGTAATCCACTTATCATTGTATACTATTTATTTTTTCTTAAATATTCCAATTTCCTTAGACATTTTTTCTCTGTACTCAAATATGGTTACTTAATATTTACAAACATGTTTTAATGTATTTCAAGAATATTTCAAATAATTCCAGTACTCTGATAAACCGATACTTAGTTAATAATTTTTAACTTGAAAATAAAAATATGATAAATCTCAAAAACTTTGGCATATACAAGCAGACCATTCTAACTTCGTTTGATTTCAGCTCTCCATGAATACTTTAAAGTAATTTGAAGAGCAAAAGAATTACTGAAATGTTGTTTAGTGTGTATGACCACTTTTACATATGGCCAACGATTTTTTTACTCAAAGTGGAAATGAGCAAAGAGAATTACATCGTCATAATAAGTCCTCCTTTTCCAAGTCTTGCGTCTTGGATGCAATTACGACCTTAATGATACTTTCTGAACTAACATTCCATCTACTTGTTTAGCTTGCACGCTCTTACAGGTCATGTTTACATTCCGCATTTCTGCAATGTAAATGTAATTTGTGATTACACACGTAATGATCTTGAATAGTGAGATGGTTGCAGGTGCATGCTTTAAAGGTAAATTCGTGCACAAAATCAGAGAACACGGTTTCTTTACTATATTTTTTAAATAAATTTATTTCAAAACAACGTGTGATGAAGTGAATGAAGTGAAAAGTATTATAGTCACAATACTTCAACGAATATTGGTAATCATATTAACGGTACTGTTACCTAATCGGTGGGGTGTAGTAAAATGTGAATTATAACATAACAATTCACTATCAGGATCACCGACAGATCAACGAAATGGTGACAGAGGGAACCCATTTTTTAATTGAGGGGGAGCAAAAAAACTCAGGTTTAGAGGAATAGGGTAACGTAATTAAGGGATTTTTCCTGATTCGATTAGGGCAACTTTATTTCTGCATGCCATCCATGCCGATGTTTTTTTTGAGTTTTTGGGTTTTTATGTCACAATTAAACAAATGGAATAAGCATAGATTTCAGATACTGTAGGTAGTAATCAATATCTTAAACAAAGCATGAGTTGTCTACACATACACACTTTACTTTCGTGGCCAGAAGTTAATTTGGTTTTCAATGATTGACGTCTAGGTATGAATGCAGCTCGCAACAATGTTCAATAATGGCAATTTTCCACTATTAGCTACACCATCTGAGCCGAGTAACAACGTTAAACAGCTGTGAAAGTGTGATTATTGTCGGTGAATTACTATTCTGTACCGGTGCATTTATGAGTTTTCTTTGGTGTGTTGCATAGAGATTTGATTTTTAATTAGCCAATTAGAGTTTCTATTGTGTAAACTGCGTTGAACTAGTTTCGAGTTTAAAAAGCTTTTTTGCTATCGATTTGCCTAAAGTTTGTGGTTCGATCCTGAGAAAAGTCAGTAACATTTTGATGAATCAAACTAGGCCCAGCTGTTCCTGATTATTGGGGTTTAAATATAATTTTCCTGAAGAAACAGCTGATCTTGGCCAGTTGAAATGCTACACAACGTGTCTCAAACCTCACACACTCATATTCCGTTATCATCTGGGTTAAAATATGTCTTAGTTGTCTCTATGTATCATAGTGATCGAATATCGATAAATTTGTTTGGTACAATCTATGTTCCAATATGATTGCAAACTATTTGATTTGATTGATATTTATTTCCTCGCCGTATGTAGAATGTGGCCAATTATGTAGAAATGTTGTTACCTAAAATTATATCACTAAACATATCATAGTTTGACAAGTTTATGTATAAAGGTGTAAGTAAAATTAACAAATAAATAAAATGTCTTACTTCAACCATTAAAACATTCAATTGATTTCTTCCATACTTCCTTTATGAAGTCGTATCCCTTTATTTAAGCTCCCTACAGTATACTACATATTGATTGTCATGTGCACCACGACTTTTCATTCGCAATAAGCTTTTATACAGCGTATGTCTCACGAACATTGTTTTGTCATACCATTCATCCCCTGACTTTGTTTAGGGTTGTTACCGATTTCATTAAACCCTAACCCTGTATGGAGGGGAACACCCCTACGGTACGCTTAATGTCCCGGTCGTAATATGAGAAAACCTATCAACATTTATGTTAATATTTTGGCATCCTAAAAAGGAGTTTTACTGATTGAACAGATAAATAAAAACCTTATGTTTGTAGATCAGTAGTTATTGTGAATTACCAATATTATAATTTTGGGTGATAACGTACTTCGTCTAATACCTACCCCCCTCATTTTGTTTAGTAATCTCACAATATTTTTCTTTAGAAATGTACATTGGTGATAATATTAATTAGTGTCCCTAAAAAATGTTTTTTTTAAATCTTTGTAGTTTATATAGATAGTAAGGATAATTACCTATATAAAGATAGTTAGCGACTTGAAAGTACCTTGACTAATGGCGTGCTATTGTTTACCACAGCGGTTACATGCCCTCCAGGCTATAACATCAAACAAATAACCTACGAACATATTTTAACACGTTTACATACCAAATAGTTTTGAACTAGCCTATACGCAAGGAGTTTATAATATAATTGACTGTTTCAAAAAACTTTGAAAATATTATTTGCAAAGACGGAGTTTATGGACATCCGGTATTATGATTACAAATCACTACAACCTCGTTGTATTTCCTACAGTTAAATTATTTTTACATCTGCACTGAAGCGTTGAGCTTCTGTCTCATCACCGTCAACCCCAACCCCATATATAAGCCGGGGTGTTGCGGATTAACCCCGTTCCCTCCCCCACGAGATCCAGAACCAATAATCGACAGACATTCTACACGAGCCGCTGTGAAATCAATTGGGTCTCACCCCCTTAGGAAACATTGTGAAGATACATCTCACAAGAAAACGTCTGTTTGCCGAACAATTATTTAATTATCAATTATCAATTATTTAAGATGGGGACGCCACTATGTGCGTATTTTAACCCAAACATGAGTGAAGGATGAGTGTAGGATGAGTGGCGCGATCTTGTAGTCTTGTTAGTGACTAAGGCCGACATGTTCCTAAGACACAACTGTTAATTAATAGGCCATACAGCCAATGGCAACTAAGGGACCTACAGTTTATTGTGCAATCCGAACCACATTTTTTCCTCGTAATTAACGAATTGGTCTAATTATTAAGATAGTAATGCGGATAGTCGTAGTACTCACTAGTGCGGACGTTAATCCACACCAGGGAGCACCGCAACCACAATGCATCCCTATAAGTATCCACAATTCGTGACCTCCTAGTAGTTGGAGGACGACGCCACTAAGTTCAGTGGAGTGTCATACGCTGATAGGCCAAACATTGTAGGTTCAAGACTGGCACTATATTATCACTGCGGCCACATATAAATCATATATGGCCAGAAATAACTTCACTTACTTAAATAATATAAAGCAGTAGTCTATGTTGACGGGCCGTATGAAGTTGAGAAGAAACTCCCGAGTTAAAATGTATACTTTATTATGCACAGTACAGGATGATGATGTGTTGTGTTTGTTGCAGACAGTTCTGATGTCTGATGAGTGGACGTAGCCCCGGGCCCCGGCGGGCCCTAGCGGGGGCCCCCTGTGTGTGTCTGCTACAGCGCTGCCTCGCCGTCCATCTGCAGAGGGTGGGCCCCGGGCCCCGCGCATCACCGTCTCACCATGTCCATCCTTCCAGTGACAACCCCCCGCAGCAGTACTGGATGTACGACAGCGGCTACCTCGTCTTCCAGGTGAGAATACGTTGTCACAGGTTATATTGGTAGAGTTGTATCAGTAACTAGTTACATAGAGTAATAGATTGTAGGAGTGATTGGTTGTACACAGAAACAAATCGTGGGAGTTACAGGTTGCTTGTGATAACGTTTTGCAGGAATAACAGGTCATACTTAGGAACAGATTGTAGAAGTAACAGATTATAGAAAGAAACATAAGCAATAAGTTTAAAGTAGTAGCAGAATTTAGGAGTAATAGGTTAGGCCTACATGTTATCTGAGTAGTTACGTGCATTTACACGTTTTGGGAATAATAGGTTACTTTTGGTAACCGATTGTCAGAGTAAAACGTTTCACAAAGTGAACGTCACCTGAGAGAACCTATTAGTTCACTGCTGATTTTACGAGTATTTTAGCATACGTTATTTTTTCATATTGTACTTCGTTACAGTAACAAATGTTAAAACGTTTAAATAAGCCGACCTGTTAATATATACGCATTTTTCTGTATGTTTACGCAATCCTTACAGTTTTCTAGTGACAGAACGGTATACCTCCAACTACCAAGGTTATATGTAACCAACCAAGGTGTGCAAATATCCCCTTCCTCTCTCGCCATCATTAGTTCTGCAGTTATCATTTACTTGGCATTATTTATCACACTATAGCGTTACATTTAACCCGTTACATTCTCTAATATCAATTCCGTTGTCACGGGTCACTACATCACGATGTCCGTGACATAACCGTGATGGTGTACGTTACGGCGTCCGCTGGTCCGTGACAAAACACGACACGCGCCAAAACTCCGCCGTCCACAATCGCGGATGAATGGCAATGATTTATTTTGTTTAAATCTTGGACTGGAGATATTTCCAGTGGTATTTTGGTGTCTCTGGGATAACCTGTGAGTGATCTGTGGGTGGCTTCCTAATGATTTTTGGGTAACCTCTAGATGATCTAAGTAGGTTTTCATTGGTTTCTGAGTACAGAGTAGACGTTTCTGGGACAAGTTCTAATTTGGTTGTAGGTCAATTGATTTCTGGGTGGTTTTCGGGCTAGTTCAGTGGTGCCTTCAGGAAAACCTTTGGTGTATCCTTGGGTAATGCCTTTAATTTTTTTGGCAATTCTCGTAATAATTAATTCAATTGGGTAAATGCAAATAAAATAAACCTGATTTCTCCATATTTGACGTAGTAAAACAGGTCCTGAATGAATCTTTGAGGAAAAATGTGTCTCAAATTTTGTTTTCGTCCCAGTTACGAAATCAAAATTGCATACTCATTTCCCCTCAAAGATTTATTTAGGACCTTTATTACTACGTGAAACATGGAGAAATTAGGTTTATTTTATTTGCATTTACCCAATTGAATTAATTACTTTCTAATCTAAAAAGAGGTATTAAACCCCACCATAACTTTAAATAATTTTGACCAAATGCGGATGTTACCTGAGTAGGGCATGCGTAGGTGTCTTGATTTGGTGAATGGTGATGACCATCCCTGTTCGCCCTCTGGACAGTTGACCTAAGTGACCCCTGGGTGACCGCAGGGTGTACCTCTGGCGACGTGCTTGTGTTGCTCACGTGAGCAACGTGCGAGCCACACGTCCGAAGCCTGAATTGGTGAATGGCGTTGATTTGATGAACGTGGTGATACAATGTGCCGTGTTCTTTCACTTGAACTCTGTCCCGATTTTCTGGAACAAATGTTATCAGCCTAAAATTCTAAGGTGGATTTGCTGTGAATCGAAAGCAAACCCCTTTACATTTTTGGATAAAACGTAGAATTTGTATAGCCTTGCATTTGTTTGATATGTTTACGTTTACATTAATAGGTCGGTAACTTTTATAACACGTGTAATTAACGCTTCTCGTAAAGGAATCAGAAAAATATGGTTCTAAATTAATTGTTTTTGGTTTATTGATAAGTCACTTGTAAGATATGAAAACTAGGCGGAAAGATGAACATCCTAATTGTGAATCATGATTGAAAGTTATTCAACCGCAAGCGGAAGTTTGACCTATGAGCCATAATAATTGGGTCGCATCGAATAGTTTTTTGCATTTTAAATTTACCAACGTTTGCACAATATTTTGGCTGTAACTTTTCTATAACACTTTTAAAAAGATGTATTTAACAAGAAACAATGTTAATAAAAAAATATATTTTAGAAATCTATAAGATAATCAAGTCTGTTGACAGTTAAACAACAACACATACTGTAGTCTTTATTTAATTGTCAACTCCACGAAATTATGATCAAGTCCATTTGGAGGCGGAAACTGGTTTTGAAAGTGGAAATTAAATTATAAAAGAAATTAGTGTAATTTAGTTATGATCCGACACTTTATTTGGTAGCTTTCTGTGGGTGTTGGTACGTGTTTTGGCTTTATTTCCTACGTGAAGACCAACACAATTAAATAACCAGTTTCACTAAATGAGCCATTCCGTGTGTGTGTGACTATGTGGTTTGTTTGCTTTCTTTTTCACCCAGGAAACTGTTGAAAATCCAATACTGGTACTTGTTCATTCCTTTTAAATAAAAAGTAGAATGTTTATATAAGGGAAATGTTTTTATTTGATCTAGGAACTAATTTCGTATGTAAGTTGTGATGGGAAGAAGTAAATTAAATTTCTAAGCCACAAGGTCCAACGCCGTCAGCGTTAGGTAAGCAAGGAAGTGTGGGTAATGTCAATATGCTAATTATTATGTTAATATGATAGGTTTACTTACTGTCCCATTATAACTTACATTATCATGTGCTAGAAAGGTGTATCTTATAGTATGTTGAATGGTCAATTAAAACAAGGATTTTGATTAATTCTTTTCATCTTGCAAACGATAGCATTAAAGTGATCAGCAATGAGATGTAAAGCGTTACCAAAATCATAATTATGATTGAACTATTCAATTGGGGGACCGGTATAAACTAACTGTATGTATCTTGTATTGGAGGTACTGCCTTCAATCTGTTTTGGTCTCAATTACACTTCTCTATATCGTATTATTGCTTGTATCTTTCATATAGTTTTCACGAGATGGAAACGCTACTAACAGCGTAGCTTAACCTAAATAAGAATCTAAGACGAATGAGATGTTTGGGGTATATTATTCTCTTTACTAACTACACTTCTCTTCAATAACCCTTTCCTTTGTTCTAATATCAAATAAAATTCTCAATTTATTTCCGTGAGAGTAATTATGGACAACATCAGATATCAAGAATCTGATGAAATTTTAAGGTTGGTTTTATCCAGTTTTTGTAAAGAGAGTTTCGTTGTGTACTATTATTTCTTGTTGTCTAACCAATATCTTATTGACCCTCTTTCTCCCAACCTACACATACTAGGCTGTAGTCTGAACCCTTTTTCCAAATTATTTTAGACTTGTTCTAGTGGTTCTTGGCATTACTTCATAGATCTATTGGTAATTGGCTGGATTTGAACCTGGGACCTCAATGGGCCAAATTCCCACGCTTTACCACTAGTTCAGCAACTAGTACACTGTTTCAACTAAACGTTGAATGTTGCAGGGATTCCTTGAAGCCAACCAGAAATGTTTCTGGAACCCCGGGCTGCTGGAGGCCGTCCGGGTGCTGGAGTTCCAGGGGTATGTGGCTCCAGGAGTACTGCTGGTGCGGGCCAACCCTTGTGCTCTGGAGGTGATCCGCTCCGCCTGGGCGAGGAACGTACTCAAAGCACCCGCCAACTACGCCATCACCTCTGTCGGTGAGTAGAGAATAGTCTTAGGAACCACCCACTAAGCAATCTTAGAGATGAGGCTGAAAGGACAAAGTCTTAGGGAAGTCCCAATCTTTCACTGAAAAGTCACTGTTTGCACGTTAAAGTGACATAATTTTTCATTGGGCTTGGATCTGCAAGTCAAAGAAAATTGGTTGAAAAATCCTAACATGTGGAACTGTAAGTTCCTTAATTTTCTTCTAGAATCTGCCCCGAGTGTACATAATTTTAATTAGGAAAGTGCATGGTGGTGAGAGTTTCAGTTTAGAGTGGAAAAATGAACTATGTCTTAAAGGATATTGAACATTATTTAAAATAATTCACCTTTAGTCTATTTTCTTCTTGGTATAGTCTGTTTTGTACAGAGGCTCTAAAGGTTCATCATATTATGAAAAATATTAAACATTACATAAAATGAATCTATGTTCTAGAGTTTCCTTAGAAATTCCAGGTTTTATTGCTCTCTAAAACCTAAATTAGTCTTGTTATGCAAAGCGAAGGATTTTTGTTTTAAGTAGCATTGATTGTTTGAAAAGATATTCACAAGCACTTGTTTTCCTAAGATATCAAGATTTTAAAAGAGCGCTATGGATTTCCCCATGAGTTTCTATTGCAAAGACAGTTTAACAGGATGAGTAATTTGTTTTCTTCTAGTTCTAGGACTAAAGTTAGGTGTCATAGTAGAATTGTTAAGAACTGTTCAAGGACAGCATGTTGATGGGCTGACTTTATGTCAATTTTGGTAGAGGACAGCACAGATTCTCTAGACTTATGTCATGATCATGTTTTATTGCGAGGTGTAATCCAATATCATCAATAACCTATTTAAATAAGTAAAGCACTAAAATTTGCAACGATTTTGTGCGATCACACAAGATGGCACTTGCGACTAATAAGCTCTTTTCTCATGAAAGTAGAAAAGCGCCGATCCCGGAAAGATCGGATAACTTTTAACTTTTACAAGCAAATAACAATCACTTTCTCACGAGGGTTCATCGCATCGCCAACCGCCAGATAAATATCGTCGAACAATGAAATTGTCCTGTTAACATCTCCATGATGAAGCGTGCCTCGCGACAATGGAAATCCGCAATTAGTTAGGCGATAATTGCCGTTTAGCAGATAAACTAACAAGTCGATCGTCAGCTGTTCCCCGTTCCCGCGCTTTTGCGGGAAACGTAACACAATGCTGCCAACTTACCCGATCTGGAGGAGAAACCGCTGGTCACACTGTACGGAAACCATAAAGTACCCGCTTGATGCAGAACAAACTGCACTCTTGTACCGAGACCTTTCTCCTATCCACGATCCTTATAAAACTGAAAGGGATCGAATTACTCGGAACGAAACCTTGCATAAGACTTCTGTATATGCAAACCCTCGTGAGTTGGTCGAATAGGAGCACCTTTATGCAAACAAAGTGAAATCGTTACCTAAATAATAGAAAACAAATGGGTTTGTTCAGGTTGTAAAGTATGGGTTTGTAGATGATTATGGCGTGTTTCGGTATTTAATTCCTCAATAGCAAATACTTAATTCAGCTTTCAATTTTTTTTTTTAGGCGAATTAAGTTTCTAAACGTAACTGAATTAGACACGATACGAATTCAGTTGAGTGTCTACCATTCAGGATTGCTAGCCCGTAAGTTTTTACGCTATCAAAAAGGCTTTCCGAACAGTAAGTCATTGGTTAGACAACAAGAAATAATAGTACACAACGAAATTCTCTTTACATAAACCGGATAAAACCAACCTTGAAATTTCATCAGATCCTTGATAACTGATGTTGCCCATAATTACTCTCACGGAAATAAAGTGAGAATTTTAACCTCAACTCTTCGTACAACTTCCTCAATCACTTCAGATGGATTTACGGTAGGCAGAGTGTAGAATGGCACTCGGTAGAATAGCAAACCCATTTTTTGAACACAGTGGCTATGGTTTAATAAGTTCAGCAGTCACAAGACCTGCACTGAAATGAACACGGAATAAATTGTGGGAACATTAAACAGCTTCCTTCAGCCAAAGCCTTGTCCATTATTTGACCTCAAGAATGTCACGTGTTAAACGGCCTTTTCCCGTATCACCATTATCGGTGTTCACTCTCCGTGGAAGTCCTTGCGTTTTTGCATTCGCTTTGACACTAGGAATGCTTCACGGGAAGCTGAGATCACCGCTCATAGCGGATTCAAGTATGTTATGCCATGAATGGTTTCAAAGTTATGTTTTTGTTTGGGCTTTTTATGAAATAAGTTAATGATCAGTCTGACCTTGTTTCTCTTTAGTAACCACTAGTCATATTAAGCACAACAAGATTTGCTCGACGTGCCAGGATCCTGAGTCCATATCAAACATTTTAAAGTTGTCAATTTTCAGGTAAACTGAATTGGTGTAGAAAATTAACTGTCAATTTTATCTGCATAGCTCTTACCACTTGACCACAAACAAAAACATGTTCTAATGTTGCCTTCCTTTGAATCATAAAGTCAATTATTGTTTTCTGATGACTCTTCCTAGTTGACTCTTTTAGGAACGAGGCTAAATTTGAATGGGTCATTCATTGCTTTGAAAAAGCTATGTGGAAGGTTCTTATTTTTATTCGTTTATTATTCTAATTTGATGGTAAATTACTAACGCAAGTATATTTTAGGCTACTAGACAGTTTGTACAAATATGTAGGCTATCAGTACCATCGGCTGACACTTACATCATATTCCTGCCCTTCCTAACCCACTTTTTTTACCTATACTGTAACTTCTTTAAATGCGTATAGAACAATTTATCTTGACTCTCACAACTTATGCACCTATGCAAATAGTTGATAATCGAATCATCTTTATGAATTACTTAAATCCTAAATAACTTCCCATACAAAAGTGAGAGTTAGCATATCCTACTAATAACTTAGGAAGAAGCCGCACTCGGGATCAACCAACGGCCACAGAAGTAGGGAAGACCTGCGACTAAACGGACGATAAATTGAACGTTTATTCATATAACAGAAGCGCATACTTTCACTTTGCGGATAATTCTTCCGCCGACGTCGTATAAAGGTTGCAATTACGTATGGGAATATCCCTTTGTGGGGAACCGCGGAAGACAGCGTCTACGTCATTGGCGACGTCACCGCAGAATGGCCTGGACGCGTTGTGTTGTAAGCGAAGGTTAATTTTGAAAACGTGATCTACCCGTGATTTGTTGTGAGTTAGTCTTACATTCGCTTACGTCTGTGGGGAGATTGAAATAATTTTTCTTGGCTGCAGTCTAGGTGATTTTAAAATTAAATTTGTCTCAATTTTACACGTATTTTTTGTGTTTCGCGTATAACCTCACGGGCTAACACTTTACGCATCCTCCACAAGAAGTAGTTTTTAAGTCAAATAGCTTCCACTATACAACAATTTACCGAAGTAAATTTTTAGACTTCAGCTATACAGACTTTTAGACTATATGCATTTCTAGCCTGAGAGTTTTTGTTTTAAAAAAGGTCACTTGCTTGCTGATCAAACCAAATCAGCCGGTGATAATGTAAAACTGTATAAGGTAAAGTTGTGAAACATTTTCTTATACAAAATTAGTGATGTATCCGTGCAATATGCTTGTAAATCACGCCTGTAACAGCAGTATAAAAATTTTACCGTTTCAGACATTTATAAATTGAGAGTTATTAGACATTTCGTTAGGAAGTCAAATTAAGACTATCAAATCATAGCAACGCACAATTGTAACTATGGAGAGCAGGGTTTTCGTTTCAATATCGTTTGAGTTATACTCTGATGTGTTTTTACCTGAATATGTGTAATGGATGAGTGTAAAATATAGAGAGCCCAGTTCTTTTCTGAAGCAAACCAGACAAGAATCAGCTGCTGTTTCTTTATCTAGGCCCATTGATCAAGGATAGATCAGTTTATTATAAAACTATAAAGTACAAATTTTAACGAATAGTTCTTTTTGCCTATGGGGGACATCAAAATGAAAGAAAAAAATAATCGGTCTCTGGCCCAGGTCTAACCTTGCCACCGAAGGTACCTAAGCTACCCTATAGGGAAATTCGCTAAAGGCTGCCTTTCTCAATATCAAACCTCGAGTAGCAATCTTCTGATTGCTGAGCAACTTCTAAAACCCTTAGCTAACCAGCCTTGCTTTGTAAGGACACTCCCTGAAATTTGTCTTAGGCTTTAAATACGTTTTAACCATTGTACGAATACAATGTCTTCTAATTTCCAAAGTCGAATGGAAGAGTGAAGAGTTAGTGAAGGTGTTCCGCCTCTCTCTAGAACTTTTACTCAATGCATATGGAACATTCGAACAATAGCTTCGGATCATAATGGGCTGAACCACTTTCATCTGCAGGTGTTCCTCTTATCTAATTAATGTTCAGATTTGGTTCGGAATCAGATTTAGAGTTTAAAACGATCTGTTGAAGTTTAGTTGCCCTTATATAGATTGTAATTATAGAATCAAACTATCAGTGATTGATTTTGCAATTAGTTTATGGATTTTTTAGTAATTAGCGAAAAATGTTAGATGTCTTATTGTAGATATTTGGTAAATTTGGTTCTTTTTTTTTATTAAAAAAATTCTCTTACATACCTGTAGGCCTACTTATTGATGGCATTTCAGAAAATTACGGAAACTAACAAATAATTTACTTAGTTAATCTTCAAAAGTAAGTTATGAAATAACAGTTGGACATGTTTTCGTAGACTCTTAGACCAATAGGAGCTTTTATATAAACTTTTAAACCCTGATGTACTGACTTTTTATGTCAATAAAGTGGCTTTATTAATATTATAAAACAGAATAATGTACAGGGCGAAGATGATATTTACTTCATCATGTACCGAACTCTCAATATACCAATTGAGCATAAGTTTGTCTCTCATTACGACAATCACTCGAATTAGTTTCTTAATTGCAAAATATTTCCACTTCATTTAAACAATAAGTGACCCTTTTTCACATAATCTATTTACATCTTCCAAGACG